GCATTGCCTCATTTGATGAAACTGTCATGTTACCCTTCTCTGCCTCGACCACATAGGGCCTAACTTGGATTAGGCAGCCCAAAAGCTCTCCCATTTTCACTTCTCAAGCATAAACACATTTTAACATGACAGCGTTTAGTGCGTGCATTCTGAATCAGATTTGCCAACTAGACGGTCTTATATGCACCCTGAAAATTCCAATTTTCTGCTGCTTCTTTGATACACGACTTCTGGATCTCAGCACACTGTGGCAATCGGCATCATCAGTTACCTCGTACCCCCCGGTTTCCATCTTCACATTTTCTGCAGCAACAGAGTCCACCACGTCTGGTCAGACTGGCGTTAAGACCGATGTAGTACTAGAGTCGAAACTGCGTTTCTTGAATGTATTCCAAGCAACAGTCGCTTATGCGTTTTGAAACTTCATGGCTCGTGTAAGTTTACTAGGCACCGACACGACAACCGTTCTTTTTTATAATATCCACTTATACTCCCATTGACTATCACTTAGATACAGTCAAGGACCAATTCTATCAGGTTCTTCGTGATCTGCTGCTAAGAGCCATCAGAAGAGAGAAAAAGTCAGAACTGCGCCGACACATCGTTCAGTCGCTTCGTTATCATGGACTTCACTAGGGCAAAGTGTTTTCGACTTGCTAGTCGGTCGTTTATATTTAAGCAAAAGCTATATTGCATTTCTGCGTGGTTACGTTAAAGTACGCTATCATAATGGAGAGACTGTTTTGTTTGTATGCCGATCGCCAACTCTACCACCCTAACCATAAATGTCGTCACCTTTGGTGTCACTACACCATGGCCATGTCACCATAAGTTATCGTTGGCGTGGCATACTTCGAGACTGCAGATGGTATTGGTTAACTTGCTTCGAATCTGGTCATACGTTGATGCATGCGACTGTTTTCTTCGTTTTGGTCGTTCACCTACGATTAGCCAATCTGACTAAACGTTAGTAATTTGGACGGCTCCAGAGTGCATGTGAAATATCAACAGTAGCTTCGTAAGGATTTAGCTTTCCCATCCTCGGGACTTTGAGTCACATTGCTTATGCTTGCGACAGATCATGATTTCTACTGTTTTATTTTCAGCCGCGGTTTTTTTCTTTGCACTGCTGAAAGTTGGATCTCTGCAACATCCTCAAAATTTAAGCTAGATAAATTTCATTTCACTTTATTCGGTTTGTTCGGCCTACCTGAATATTCTTCTATTAACTGGCCACGTTGCTTACACTAATTGTGGTTATCTTCGTTAATTTTTTTGCGTTTGTAGAATCTTTTGTGTAACTTCTGGACATTTTGTACTTATCGCGGATTTGTTGCTAACCAATTTACTTCATATGCTAATTTAGGGAAGAGTTATGTCTGCATATCCGTATTCTTTAACAGATATTTTTTGATATCGTTTCAAGTGATTGGCTGTTGTTTGACATCCCCAGTGTGGTTGCGCTTGATGTACATGTTGACAAGGTGTCTACCTGTCTATTACCCACTACCTCGTCCATACTGGCTGTAGGAGATAGTTGGTCGTTGCTGGAGGGGATGGGGTGCACGGTCCTTGTGGTCGTGCTAGGCTCGAAGAGTGGTTCCATGCACTCAGTGTGGAGCGCACTACGGTCCAGCCATCGCCTTGTGTGCACTTGATTCCCAAATAGAGCGTGCTTGTGTTTGCCTGTGAAGGAGTGTGGGTCGGCTCCGTTGATGAAACGTGACTCCCATCCACATGCCTCCCGGTCTTATTCCTTCGGGTTTAAACTGGATATGGGGTATGTGGTTGGAGCTGTGGGTGGTGCAGCGCAAGCCACCCATAGTCACTCTGTAGGCGCAGGCGTCCTGTGGCTGGCCACAGTGACAGGCAAATCCGAAACCGGGTGCCGCCAACCATATATATATGGCATCCGCCTATAGCTTGTCAGCGATGGACCCAAATAAATCACGTTGCCATAAGCTACAGATTGCGTGGTCCAATCCTGACTTGTCGCTCTTTTTGGAGTACCTGCTTTGACTCTGATCATGCTCAAGTATTATGTCATTTTTCTATAAACGTTTACTCTTTGGCAACGGAGTAGTCATCACGGTCAAGCAAATCTAACCTTCGTACTTAGGTTCGCTCTCTCGTCCTAATGACACAGCCGCCATGCACCATGCGGGATCCTCCGTTTGTGGCATTACCAATCGGCAACACGTCAGCCACTTGATATTTAAGAGGTCTATGGACCTGCTGGAATCCAGAAAACTTACGGTTGGCTCTGTGCAAATTGTAACCAGACGGACTATTCGGCGCGAGATAAAGCGGAGCCTGCGTCTTGACAAGGAAACCTGGTGGACCAGCCTGACTCGAGATATGGAGGAGGCAGGAGCAGTAGCCAATTATCGCAAACTTTTTCAGCTTATCCGCACCACTGGTATCAGAAAGCCAGGCGTCGGTGCGACAAGCAGAGATAGGGCAGGTGCTCTGCTCCTCAGTAATAAGCACCGTATGGCTCGTTGGGAGGAGCACTTACGTTATCAGTTCATTGGCCGTCTTCCTACTCAGATGATATAGGATAAGTAATGGACGATTAGTTTAGAGGCTCCATCGGAGGCTGAGGTCCGAAACGCAATCGCAGCTCTTAATCATTTTCGTGCTGCTGGTCCGGGTTCGCTTGCACCCGCACTATTTAAGGATAGTGGTGAAGTTTCCTGCAAAGCACTGACCTCTGTTGGAGCAGGTTTGCAAGGTGTAGATCATCACGGCTAACTGCACTAAATCGATTATAATGACAATGTACAAGAATACTCCTATGAACTGCGCTAATTACAACGGTATTAGTCTAACACCGGTGGTTTCAAAATTCCTGGCCCCAATTCTCATTCGTCGCGTCACTGCGGAACGGGAATTGTGGATTAGTGAAGAGCAAGCAGGCTTCTGCCCAGGACAGGGCTATATAGACCACATATTCACTCTGCAGCAGTTGCTAGAGCAGCACCACACGTACCGCAGACCGTGAATAGCTGTGTTCATGGACCCCAATAGTGTGTTCGACTCAGTCGAACTATCTGCTACTGAGACCCGCGAATAATGCTTGACACAGCTGAAACGAATTCCAAGTTGGGCTTGTAATAGAGGTTGCGAATCACAATCCTACCACACAGCGGGTTTTCCAAGCCAAACTTTGAATTCCTTTTAGGTATGCCAAGCGTTTCTCACGGATTTACGTGGCCTAGTGTTCAGGACGACAGCCGTGAACCACTAGGCTCTGAGTTCCATCCCAGATCAGGCTATTTTCACCTGATGAGTCCAAACCAGGACGAAACCGCGGTCGTGGTGTGCCAGTGTTGAGATGAGCAACACCGAAATATTTCCCTTTCGGATGTGGTCCTTGCTAGTCGATCTTGATTTGTTGTTCTATTTTTTAACGATGTTTGGACGTCGCAATCAACTCCGTAAAATTTTTCTATGGTAGTCCCATCCTTCAGTATGCGCTTCGCACTTTCAAAGTGCAGTGATGTTGCAGGATCACTATCATCATCAATGCACCTTAGCTGAAGGTTCGAATTACCTCAGCTACTGTGCCACATGACTGAAGCGACGCTCTATGATTTAGTGAGTTAAATCTGGAAGACAAACGACTATTGAAGCAAGATGTGGGATTGAAAACTGGGAGGATAAAAGTTCCGTTATACTTGAACAAGCGCATGCGAGGGAGTAAGAAGACCGGAAGGCCTGAGCAGTTGCATACAAATCTTTATCCACCCTGCTCGATGCAGCAGCTAGGACTCCGTTGATATCCTTTGCGACAGTCAGGGCATCAAACGATTGTTTGAAGGGCAAGTCATCGCGTTGTATTGCGTGGGCCGGATACTGTCAGGTTGTCCGGGCCTAGACAGAAAAACGATTAGGACTCTCAACTAAAAACTGCTTCAGAAACCTGACCACAAGGAAGCGGGGTTGTGACACTGGGCTATAGAGAGTCCGTTTTAAGGAATAAAAGGCTACCTTCACTACCGCCCCCAATCTAGAGAGCCAGGAAGTTGTTCGTCTGTCATCTAACCAGTGACCTATCTGGTATGAAGGTGCAAAATGCATCACCCAGCATAGGTCAGTGGAGCATTGAGGCAATCAAATTATCACACCACCTTAACGTGTAGTCTCGTCGTGATGGACAAGCAGCCACTTGATGACCCGTCGACCCTCGCTAACGCGGAACTCTAGGTAGTTGATCGATTCACTTACCTTGGCAGCGGCATCGGCAGTGATGGGCACATGAAAACTGAAGTCACTTCACGCATTTCAAGAGCCAGAACTGCCTTCCTGAATCTGCGAAATCTTTGGCGACAGAAAGGACTCCGTTTCAAATGCCGTGTATCAAGGCTACAGTGTGGCTCGTCCTACTCTGTAGTAGTGAGATTTGGCCTCTTCGATCTGAGAATATACGGCACCTCCAAGCCTTCGATCCTTGTTGTCTGCGAAGCATTGTTAGTGTCAAATTGCAGTAACGTGTCCTCAATGATAATGTGCGTAGGCCATGGATCGTATTAAAAATCAGTGGCGTCAATACTGCTGTCATTCTTCCGTAGTGTTCATCTTTAAATAAAAATAATAGACTCATAGCGAGATGTATGAAAATCAGGTGGACCTATCCATCTTTTGATACAGTTTTTTCTCTTTGTTGAATAAATTTTGCTCTACCATTATGACCATGGTTCTGATGACAATTGTCTGTTTTCATAGTTGTGTATACATAAAACTTGGATTTTAATGATGTGCTATCAGGATCGAGCCACTGTTGCGAATCACGATACTATGAAGTGTCAACTTGTGATTTCTTATCAGTTCACTTTCCCAAATTGCTAGCTTTTTCGGTCTCCACCATCTCATGAGGCGGTTTTAGGCGTGACGTCGGCCCTTTGTATATCTGTGTTTCTGCATGTAGTCTGTCTCACCCCGTACTGCCGTCCAGATGAAAAAGACGCGGAAATCATTCCTTGATTTTTGTTATGCAGACTGAAATATTAGAGAAAGTACCGAGAACTAACAAGTTGCGCGTGTCTCAGGACGAAGACGATGAGTCGAATGATGAGCTCCAAAACGTTTTACAGACTCAGCAAGTGCAACATAGTGTTAAGGACCGACCTTCTGCTTCTGGGAGACTGAAAGAATCTGCTCTTGCTGAATGGAAGTCTCTAACGTAAGTCATTTTTCTATTCCATTACCGCACGTTGTAGTTGGACCTTGTGCAAAGCACTATGACAGCGTGGCCAACATACTGGGCATAAGATACCGTCAAGGTATAACGTCACTGGTGCATCGGTGACGCTGGCGGGCATTGCTCTTAGAGCACTTTGGCCTCCAGCCTCAGCAACGCAAGGCGAGGATGGCTACGAACCATTTGTTTAAATATAGGGGTTTCAGCCGCTGCATCGCCAGAACCTCGGTAAGCCGGACAAGGTGAACAGCTTTGTGTCAGTTGATCATTCTAACTGGCTCACGCAGGTTTTCACACCCCTGAGTACATGTTGGTCGATCAAAGTAGATAATAGCTTTGGACTGTTCACGACCAAATTGCGTGAAATATGCTCTGAAATCCTTGCAGACGATTTCCTCTCAGTTTGTCCAGCGTACTCGCTACGGAAATGTTTTTTGTCACTTTGTACTTTGTGCAATTTCTAAAGGAACGTCTCTTTCCGGATATATTTCGCTCACTGAGACTACTCTTAGTTACATTTACTATGAATGCCTGTAGACTTTCACCCATCCGCGTCAATTCTTGAAATCACCACGTATTCACTCCCGAAACTGGCGCTGTTTTACTAACTCAGCTCGAGACTCGTGTTTAACGCGTTGCTGATTTAGATTCTGGAATAGGTTAGGTCGGCCAAGTCCTTTATAATATGAATCTGGTATCCTTAGTGAAGTTCTTCAACTTCCTTCGCGAAGTGCTGCAAAAAAACAATTGACTGCCAACTAAAAACTCGTGAACTGGGTTTCAGTGGAGTGCTTCAATGATCAGATGCTAATTGAATTTGCGAGTTACGTGCTTAATTTGTTTTCTGTCTCACTGAGGTTTAATTTCTCAGTACCATCGAATAAATGCGACAGGCTATAAATTGAAGTTCAGTTTGTACACCTATATGAGCAGTCTTTCAATCGGATGCCTGCTACTGATGACGTTAACAATTAGTCTATGGCCAAGGCATTGGATCTGGCCAACTAATTCTGCGTTGCTCAAACGGAGAAGCGCAAAGTTTTAACCAATTATCACTGGGTCCCCAATGGAATTACACCGAAATGAGTATGATAATACTCAGGCCTGGTAAGAAATCAGGAGTAGTTATAATAGAAACCGAAAAGTTACTCATCAGCACTGCGCTGGCACACTGTACCAACGCTTCGCTGCCACGCGACCACCACCGGTTGCGCGTACCCTAAGTATACAGCTAGGACGCCCGCCCTTACCCGGATTCGAACGGGTGACCGAAGCATTGCAAGACAGGCGCGCAATCCTTCCGGTCACCCGCCGAGGATTAATTATAATGGGAAAAGATGATTATGGAAGTGAAACGTGCGTGAATGTATACTGTTATAGCTGATTCAAGCTGCATCGTTTGCGATGTGACAAGTTGAGAGATCGTTTGTTCGACACTTAAAAAAGCCAAGAAAAGTTTGATGCTGCTTCGTCCTTTTGGGGATCGACTTCCCCATATGCACAGCTTCCTAAAGACTCATACAGAAGGCGTCTCCCTGAGTCCAATCTTTTAAGCGATTAACGTGCCGTGTCAAAAATTGGCATGGTGGCTCCCAAGCCTATTCGGTGGGAGTTAGCCGGGTATGGCCTCAAGGATATGTTCTAATTTATTCCCAAAATAGGATCTGTACTTCTCTCGATATGTGCTCACTATTCAGTAACTTTTTAAAATAGTATTTGATCGTAACGAACTCATGTCAGCAACCTCGCCATGCAACCTTGTTACTACTGCTTTTGTGCATTGGGGGCCAGAGTTCATTAACAATTCATAACTACAGATTGGTGCACTAACCTTGGTCAGTCGACTTCGGTTTGTCTTGGCAGATATTTTCCTGGGCCACCTGGAAAACACTAAGCCACGTCTTTCCATACAAAATCTGCATTCCTATAATCTCTATCTAGACGACATTTTCTTGGTTGTTACAACTGCTAGACAAGCAGAACGTCTACTGTGTGCTTTAAATAACTTTCACCTTACGGTCTAATTTGAGGTATAAACTGTTACCTTTCTTTTTTGAATTTTAGCGTTAAAAGGAATCCGATTGTTTCGCACATTCGATCAATGTGACACCAACTCACGTTTTTGTTCTTCGTTCTAAAGGCGAGCTCTCTTTCGTACAACTTTTGAGAAAGCTCGCCAGTTTTACTCATTGAAATCGATTGTATGTGGGCTGCAGTGCATCTCCCCAACATTGCGCGAAAATGGATATCCTGAAAATAGCGTAAAAAGACACGAACGCAAAGACCAGAGTCGAGCATTTGACCGACAATTACAAAGGAAAGGTGTTCATAACGCTGGCAATTTAGAAAAGCGAATATGACAGATTCCGGTAGCGCCTCTCTCAATCCGTATAGATGTGTTATTACACCGTCGAACTTGTAATTCCACACCAGATTAAAAGGCTGCTGTCTAAATCCAACTTAGACCGAACTCTCGAGTGGCCTTCTCATGCATCTTTCTTCATCATTGTGTTTGCCGCAGCGAATACGTTTTCCGAGCCGAGAGTGGACTGTCTACAAGGAGTTAAGCGCGTTTCACTCAACCTGATCGTCATTAGTCCAAAGGTGCTGACTATTTTTACCGGTATACGCATGTTCGGATCCCCTATATGTGCAAAATCGTGCGACCCAGTTAGAATAATTAACTGGCAGATCGCCATCCGCCTGCCTCAGTTATCCGAAGTTTCGGCAGTTAAGCGGCTGAAACCCATTCTATGTAAACAGACGGTTCGTAACCTCCCTCGCCTTGCCTTATTGAGGCTGGTATCCAAGATCCTCCAAGCGGAGTTCCTGTCTTCCGCATATATTCCCATGTGCACCATACCACACTCTTGCCTGCCGTTGTCATGTATATGGTTGCCTATCTTTCCTCTATTTTATAGCCCGATTCGATCGGTTTTTTACAAACACCCCGTAAGTTGTGGGGCTGTGATTAGCTTCACCAAACCAATAATTGTTTTGAAGTTAGAAAAAGTAAAACACTAACAAGGATACGAACTCAAAATAAAAGAAATCCCAAGTGCACCTGTGTTATATAGGTTAACTAGTTCACAGGTACTAACGATGAATAGGATGCAATAGAGTTGTTGGCTCTTAGGCTGTCCCATTTTCGGTCTCTACAGTTGTATTTTTGTAGCAAGTAGAAGCCACGATTAAACTTTGCACAATAATCTGCCTCGACGGGGAATCGAACCCCGTACGTCCGGGGTTCGATTCCCCGTCGAGGCAGATTATTGTGCAAAGTTTAATCGTGGTTTCTACTTTCTACAAAAACTTACACTATTCACGAAACCACCAACAATGTGAACTATACAGATGTAACAATTCCGGTAAGTCACCTCCCGTAGGGCATCATGCAGCAAGTCAACCGACCCTTTAGATCGATTCCTTCATCCATTTTTGCCGTATTAGGTCACAACTGCAACCCCTCACTCTAATTAGGTTGGTTATTGGTGACAGGAATACGTCGAGTATGCTATCTGCATGCGAGACGGTTGTAAACGATCCAGCGCCACGCCAGCAAGTTTGCTGTCTAACCTTGATTTTATGTCGTGCTCCACTGTGGCACGGGCGATACTACTTGTCAGCCGTTGGTCAGATATGCTCAGTTCCTACACCTCCCCACATGGTATCCGTTTATTACCGCTTCAAAAACGCTAGTGCTGTGACCAACAGCGCCGTTCCGTTTGTTATTGCTCTCGATATATGATATTACTGCACAAACTCTCAGTAGCCTATTTATGATCAGAATTATATGCCACCCCGTAATCGCCTACTACAACCGAGATCTTGCATAACTTTTATCCTCTACAAGACCCAGTTGTTAGCGTTTGTGCCTCTAGAACTGCAGTCTGTAACACCGGATTATTGTTTTTACATTTTCTTTAGTTACTCAGGGCACAACTGCGAATTGTATTTAACTGCCCGTCTGGCACCCAACTTTGCCGCTGCTTGTCGAGTGTTATACGAAATTCGGAAGCGCTGTCCGCGATTTTTCCCCCGTAACCTGTTTGACTTCGGTTCCGGATTGGGTACAATTGCTTGGTGAGCATTTTCTTCTCCTTTCTACTTGCTTATTCATCTATCAGTTGCTTATATGCAAGCAAAAACGAGATTGAATGGCCCTTTTTCTCTATACTTCCATCATTCGCACCCCAACGGGACAAATTGCGTGGTTGCGTGGCTGTGGAATTACCTACAAAGGATTCGAGAGAAATGTGCGTTGCTTTCGAATTTACGCAGCACTGAACGGCTTTTGGAGATGGTTTTAGTTGCGCAACGATTGTATTACTGTGTGTGGCTATAACTAACTTGACTCCAAAGTGCGAAGTATTGTTTCGGGATCGGCCGATACTCTAGCGCTTTTAGCTATCACCGAACAGCCTGTAGAAGAGGTGGATAGATTCACTTGTCTCACCACTGGTCGTCACTTCACTTAGGAAGTTACCTCCCGTATTCGCAAAGATTTTCAGCTGCTCAACTATCTATGGAGACGGCGGTAGGATGTGTAACGTTGCGATAAGGTCAGTGTTGCTGTATGGATCCTAGGCCTAGCTACTTCACCATGATGACGTTAAATTGTTGACCGTGTCTTATCACTGGTGCTTGCGAAGTGTTACTGATGGGAACACTGAATGGGCAATGCTTAGATCCACCAATTTGTTTTTGGCAATAAACTTTCTTGTGCCTACCTCGAGTGTTTGCTGCATCTTAATCGCTTCCGCTGACTACGCCATGTCCTATCTATGCCCGTCGACTAGCTTCCTTTTCGTTCATTATACGCCGTTATTGCACCAAATTGGGCGAGGCCGCGAACTGGTCATTCGATGACGTGTCATTTAGACATGAAGGAATTGGCTGCGAGACTTGGTCAATCCAAGGGTTAAAGACTCCGACATGGCGCAGCCATGCAGTCAGTGGCGTTTCTGATTTCGGTTTATTGCACCTGACTGTTAATATTCCTTACATTCCCTTTAGTTTTATACGCTTTATCTCGATTCAAATTTCCTCCGATTTGCATCCAACCCCATTTTCTTACTGTTGTTATATACTGTTAATCTAGCGACGTAATTCAGAGTAGTTGGGTCCACTGCATTTTTAATCCCGGATCATGGTTGCTTAACTGTTCTGAGCTGAGCAGAACTGTAATTAGGATATAGCATCACCTATCTTCCACTGTCAGTGACAGTGGAAGATAGATGGTGCTATAGCCTAATTAGCTTGCAAATTATGTAGCCCTTCCGACGTCCACCATGGCTCAGTGGCTTAAGCTGCTGTGTGGTTGGCGTCAGCCCCTAGTGGTCATGGGTTCGATCCCCAATAGGGGGTCGGGGGAATTCGCACCACTGACCAGCCCCAATAGAGGGACACGCGTCGAGTGCTTTTCTGGGCTAGGCTGTGCGGTGTAACTTGTAGACCACTGAGATAACTACCTTAAAATTACAGCTAAAATCCTGCTACTCACGAGTAACATAGAACTGCAATTAGTTTTCCTGTATCTTCACAACCGGTCTTCAATTCACTGCAAATGTGATTGATTGCTCCATGACACCTTTAAAGGCACGATTATTGTGTTGGTCGCCCAAATACTCAACGTAACCGTCTCGACGGTGTTTTCACCTGTATTTATTCATCTTGGTCTGTCACCGTAAAGCGTACTTCGCTGTCGTTCACAATTCATTAGACGATTTATTTATAGACATGATGCAGCATAGCCGAGCGAACACTGCTCGATTATGGTGCCTAGGTTGTACATTACGTCGGAAGTCCCACTCCTGAATTTACCGTTTCTGCCATTGACACTCCTATCCTTTCGACAAGCTCATTTTTAACCGAACGGACAAACCCAGTTTCTTCGGGTTCCATTTGGAGCCCTCGATCCTCCCTCGGATTGGCACGCCTAAATGTACGCACCTTGTTACAGACCGGTCGACAGGCAGCACTTGCCTGAACAATAGAGACCCTCTCGATCGATATCTGCTGCTTATCAGACTCGCCTGCAAGACTCGAGCTCTATGCTCACTTTGCAATCCCCTTCAGGTGACGCAAGAAGTATTTTCTCATTGCGCTTATCCGGAGACGATGCAGCTTCGAGTATCGGCTAAACCGGTGTTAGCATTGCCCTGAGTCCCCGGGCTGAAGCTGCTCTGGTTGATTGGATCCCAATCTGTAGCCGGATATGTCCGGTCCGATTGGTTGGCTCGTTCAAAACTTCGAGGTCTCGCGGGACTAATAGGTGTCTATTTGTCATCGCTGCCTACGCGCCCACAAACTGTAGCGATGATTCGGTAAAGAACGACTTCTACCGCCAACTGACCCAGCTCCTTCGCCACAGAAGAAGCACGGACACTGTAGTGCTGGCTGGGGATCTGAACGCTCAAGTTGGAAAAGTGTCCGCTGCTGAACCTCATCTTGGCGGCCAACATGGTGTGGGCTCCCGTAATGATAACAGTGAGCGGTTACTTCATTTGTGTGAAGATGCTCGCTTGTTTTTTGAGAGCACTAACCTTCGACACTTCACTTGCCTTAGGGCGACTTGGCGCCCACCAGCCTCGAACCAGCCTTGGACGTAAATCGAGCACGTTGCGATCAGTTACCGCTGAAGAGTCTGCGTCCAGAACTGTCGCTCGATTTGGAGCACATGTGTGGACACCGACCTTGCACTTGTATGTGTTCACCTGTGAACACACACGACGATGCATTGATACCAGCCAACTGGCGAAGCCAGGAGTTCTGAATGCATATCAAAGTCCGCTGACATGCGGGTTTAGTTAGCGTTCACTGGATACCATTGTAGGTCACTGGTCTCGTGTTCACCCAGCCTTCCGAGCAGCAGGCAAATCTTCATGTGGTAAGTCTAATAACCGACATGGAAATTGGGTCTCTTCGCGGTCTCTGGAACATATCCGTGCTCACGTGCACATTCCGGCTGCAAGCGAACAAAATGAGACTCGCTAACACCAGGCAAAACTCCATGCTAGCCTGAAGAGAGACCGCGAATCCTGGTCGTTTCTTCTTGCGTCAGAGATGGAAGTAGTCGCTGCCCTTGGTAACCAACGAAAGTTATTTCGTCTGATACGGGAACCGAGCAGCAGGAGACCTGGTGTTAGGGAAACTATTTATGACGAGAGTGGACAGCCAATTCACAGCTTGTCAAAACACTTGGAACGTTGGGCTGAGCACTTTGTAAGGCAGTTTAATTGATCGGAATTGTCAGATTTCTTGCCGGCCACTGATTGCCGTACTCCCTTGGCTGTCCCTTTGGATCCACCCTCTCCCTCAGAAGTCGAACGTGATATCAGACTGTTGAAGTTGTATACCACCGCGGGACCAGATAATCTTCCTCCTGCCCTCTTCAAATTCGGGGGACCTGCTTTTGTGGATGATTTACAAGAGCTACTGGTGAAGCGGTGTGAACAGGAGACTGTCCCAACCGACTGGAGCCACTACGTCAGGGTCCCAATTTTCGAGGGAAGCTCATGATCTGAATTTAGTGACCATAGAGGAATCAGTTTGATCTCCATCGCCTCCAAATTGCTTGCGCCTGTCATTCTTCACAGACTGACTGACACTCGTGAAAGCCAGGTTCGGAAGGAGCAAGCCGGGTTTGGTCGAGGTCGTAGCTGCATCGACCACATCTTCACTTTGCGTCAACTGTTGGAGCACCGTTACCTATATTGCCGACCCACTGTTTTCGTGTTACTGGACATCAAAGGTGCCTTCGATTCGGTTGATCGATGTGCCCTTTAAGACTGACTGCTGAGGAATGGTGTGCCCGGGAAATTGGTAAATAATATGCGAGCGCTTTACGCGCTTAGCTCGGGCGGAGTGATGGTTTACGGCAAGCTGACGCCACCCTACAGTATCTCTAGCGCTGTGGAACTAGGATGCCCGCTGTAACCTTTTCTCTTTAACTTCGCCATTGACGAAGTCATGGAAATGGTGTTCGCCGGGCACAACTTAGAAGGTGTGGATCTGCTTCCAGGCGAACTACTTCTTGACTTGGAATAGACTGACGATTTCGGCCACATCTGTGACGGCTCCCAAACGAGCCAAGCGGCTCTGGACAGATTAGCACTGGTTGTCAGCCACTTCGTGCTTTGCTTTACACCCTCCAGCTGCGAAGCATTTTTCCAAGATTGCTTTGGACCGCCTTCTGCGCTGACCCTTGGTAAGGATCAGTCAGAAGTTGTTCAAAAATTTAACTACCTCTGAAGTTGCATCAACGCCCGTGGGATTGAAGATGAGATCACGAACCGTGTAGCAAAACCTTGAGGCGCTTTTGCTAACTTTCGTCACTTATGGTGCCGGCGCGACATCACTCTTGCCCTGAAGGGTCGAGTGTACAATACAGCGGTATGCTCGACACTGCTGTACGGTTGTGAAGTCTAGCCCATTAAATCTGCCGACATAAAGAGGTCTTCGCAGTTCGAATCGTATCTTGGTGGGAACACCGTGTGAGCATTGAGCGTGTTCGATGCCTTGTGTATGGCGCAGGGAGAAAAAGCGAACCACTCAGCACCGTTATTTCCCGCACCAAGTTCCGAAGGCTCGGCCATATGTTACGCATGCCAGTCCACCGACTCCCACGACATGCGTTCTTTGCGCGTCGTGGGTGCGAATGGAAGAAGAGCTGGGTGGCCAAGCAATCACTTGATCAAGAGGAATGAAGGCCCTTCGAAGTTGGCCTCGGTTGGAGCCTCTCGGCTCCTAGTTTGGGGCTTGAAAAGCGATGAACATGTTTGGCTGGATACTTTTAGTGACACGGCTAGGAGCCGATCTCAGTGGGTTTGTGTTGTGAGCTTCTTTGTCCCCCCCTCCCGCTTAGCCTTCCCTCCAACCAGAATCTCATTTATTAGCATAATCTCATTTTGCATGGTTACTTTTTTGCTACATAGCAGTCGGCTGGTAGCTTTCCAGGATGATGCCTATGTGTTACTGCTAGCTGGTACGCATCTGTTGCGTGTATTTTTCCTTTTTCTTTTCTCTATCGCGGCACAGTAGCTGAGGTGTATAATGATGCTGATGATCGGGAAATTGAACCT